ATGGTTTGAGAGGGGGGTGAAGGAGGCAATTTATGTAAAAAGAGAAAAGCCGTCTCTTAACAGAGGAGGAGGCCTCAGATTTCCACTTTCAAAAACCTATAATGCAACGTTAAAACAGATTCCCAGCCGGTTTTTCACACCTGATGGGAACAGAGGGGCCTCGTCTGTGTATTAGAGGAACAAAAGACTCTTACTGTTAATGTTTGTTTAGGTGTGAATTGCCAATCTACATATGTGTGTGTGTGTCTTATATCACTCAGCCTTATAACCTGAATCTCTCACTCTCTGCTCTTTGAATTGAGAAAGCTTCTCGGATGAGGAGCGAAACGTCTTCTGTTACAAATAAAGTCCAGTTGTTTTTGTATTGAACACTTTTTGAATGGTTGTAAACTGCCTCTCGCCCAGTTAAGTGTCAGAGCTTCAGAGCAGAGTGGAGCTCACTGAAGACACACAGCCCTGAGAAGGTCTGCTGCGCCACAATAATTCAGACCCCACGCCTCCTCCCATGTACGATGGTTCGTTAATTACAACTTTCACAGAGATTTGACGCTCGCTTGCTAAACTGATGGTTATTCAGGTGAAAAAGAGCTGCAGTTCCCCAGAAATATCTGGATCAACAGTAAGTGAAGCTGCTGGCTGATTTCGATCCGTTGTAAATGCTAATTAAACAGGTCTAATCATCCATTTTTTAAATAAAAGAAATCATTTTCTACTGGCAAAAAGAAGCGACCAGCTGCAGTTAATCAATTCACCGACAGGAAGTTAATAGGACTTGGCCATGTCACGTTAAAATTAGGGATGGGGCCGATCCGATCCAGTATCGGTATCGGCCTCCGATACTAGCAAAATTTATGTATCGGATTTTCCGAGCCTCCTGCCAATATTTCCGATCCATGATGCAAGTTGGTTTCAAACTATGTAATGGATTTCCTGAACGGCGGCGTGTCTCATGAACCCAGAGTAATAAGACCCGCCTCACATTCAGGAAATCCAGTTCATAGTTTGCAGCCAGCTACAACGTGAGGACTGAGTTAGCAGCACTGTGGCTAACATCTAACCAACTTTAAATCTAAACATGTCCGCTGTGTGGAAGTATTTTACACTAAAAACACCACAAAGCAATGCAGCAACGTGCAATGTCTGCAGAGCCATAGCGCCACATTAAACCAGGTTAAAGTTAGTTTTACGATGGACATTCGATCTCCGTGGCTTCAGCGGGGTGCTGCTCTTTGCTCAACCGAAAGAGGCGACTCGATACCGGCCAGCCGCGTCCAATTTGCCCCGCTCAGTCTGCCCGTCTCTGAGGAGGGACAGACTGAGCGCGGCTTCCCCAAATCAGGCTGCTTGCTTCGGATTGAACAAGAAGTAGACGTCACTGAAACCACAGAGCTCAAATGTTTACAGAGAAGTTGCTAAACTTCATCATAATTAATGACTAACCACTATCAGTTGTAGAAAACGAAGGATTTTGCAGCTTGATACTTGCAGTCAAGATATAGTTTACCCTCCAGGAGATATTTATCAGTACAACAGTAGACAATCATAAAAAACATGATTTGAAAATTATATATATTAAAAACATAAACAGCTACATTATAAAGTGATGTAAAATACTAAAAACAGGAACATGTCTGTTGGTTTATGCCATGAACTTAGCAGATGTTTAAAGCCATTTAACATTTTATTTAATTTAATTCATTTATTAATTAATTTAAATGAAACAAAATTAAAAAAAATAATAATAATCAAAAAGAAAACATTGAATGAAAAGAGTGCAGAAAGAAGAAAAAAATCTTATATTTGCCCCTTATAAAATATAAAACAACTTTAAACAATCACTTAAATTAATCACTTTAATATCCACTTTAAAGCTAGGAATAAAAAGAAACATGTTTTGTGTTAGTAGAATTTAATTCTAACTTTAAAACTCATCCAACATTAATAAAACTTACCTCAAGTTGCCTTTTTGGACATGCATGCATATATTTGTACAAATTGTACTTGAGAGGAGATTATTACAGCCTCATATAAAATCAATGATGATCATGATATCGAAACTGGATCGGTATCGGCCGATACTCAGGCCTAGGTATCGAGATCGGACCGGAAGTAAAAAAAAAAAAAGTGGATCGGTGCATCCCTAGTTAAAATACCTTCAAGAACCTGTTATTAACAGATTTAGGTGAATGTACTGATTTATTTAAGCCTGCATGTATGACTGGTACTACTGTATATAAATAAACTGAATTAAATAAATATTAACAAGCCAGAGTTAAATCTCATGAAGCATGGCATCTATGCACATAAACACTAAAGTTACTTATGAAGTCAATGAGTCATTCTGCACAGCCGTCAGAATAAAAGGCCTTTTAGCTCCAAAAGGACAAAAGGATTTAAAATACCATTGCGATCTTGAATCCTGCTCCTCGGGGCCCCAACATGTTGCTTAGTGGGATCCTGCAATCCTCCAATATGATGTTGGCGGTTGAAGAGGCTCGGATGCCCAACTTGTCCTCCTTTTTGCCCAGAGAGAGTCCTGGATGTGGCATGGGGATCAGGAACGCACTGATACCCTGCAGGCAGGGGAGGGACAAACAAACAAAGCACTTAGAGGATCTGAGGCAGCTGCAACGTCACTTTCATTCCTCCTCCCGTCAGTGAGTGTCAGAGCTGCATCATGCCTTGTGCTTGAGCTTCTTGTCTGTGGTGGCGAACACGACGACAGCAGAAGCTTCCCAGCTGTTGGTGATCCAGGCTTTGGTCCCGTTCAGCACCCACTCGTCTCCTTCCTGATGGGCCATGGTGGAGGCTGCACCTGCATCACTGCCATTACCTGCAATTTCAATCAACAACAAATGACGGGATGTGAATGAAAACTCATGCACGCTAATCAGCTGAGTGTTTTTCTGATTCTATAGACAAATTTGGGCACAAAAACCAAGTTAAAGGATAGATGATGATACCTGGCTCACTGAGGGCAAAGCAGCCCACCTTTTCTCCAGAGGTGAATGGAGAGATCCACTGCTTTTTCTGCTCTGCTGTGCCAAACTTCAGGACTGGTCCAATGTAGAGAGACTGAGAAAAGTGAAAAATAAACCATTGGTGCACGAACTTTTGCCTCGCCACAATATTAGACCGTTAGATTTCACACAGACTGCACCCACATTGTTAACAGACACCACGACTCCGGTGCTGGCGCAGCCTCTGCTGATCTCCTCCAGAGCCAGACTGTAGGCCAGGTAGTCCATCCCTGCTCCACCAAGTTCCTCTGGGACCTCTATGGCCATCACACCCAGCAGCCCCAGCTCAACAATCTAGACAAATCACAGAACATACAGGTCCTTCTAAAAAAATTAGCATATTGTGATAAAGGTCATTATTTTCCATAATTTAATGATAAAAATGAAACTTTCATATATTTCAGATTCATTGCACACCAACTGAAATATTTCAGGTCTTTAATTGGTTTAATACTGATGATTATGGCATACAGCTCATGAAAACCCAAAATGCCTGTCCCAAAAAATTAGCATATCATGAAAAGGTTCTCTAAACAAGCTATTAACCTAACCATCTGAATCAATTACGTAACTCTAAACACCTGCAAAAGATTCCTGAGGCTTTTAAAAACTCCCAGCCTTGTTCATTACTCAAAACCGCAATCATGGGTAAGACTGCCGACCTGACTGCTGTCCAGAAGGCCATCATTGACACCCTCAAGCAAGAGGGTAAGACACAGAAAGAAATTGCTGAACGAATAGTCTGTTCCCAGAGTGCTGTGTCAAGGCACCTCTGTGGGAAGTCTGTGGGAATGGAAAAGTGTGGCAGAAAACGCTGCACAACGAGAAGAGGTGACCGGACCCTGAGGAGGATTGTGGAGAAGGGCCGATTTCAGACCTTGGGGGACCTGCAGAAGCAGTGGACTGAGTCTGGAGTTGAAACATCCAGAGCCACCGTGCACAGGCGTGTGTAGGAAATGGGCTACAGGTGCCGCATTCCCCAGGTCAAGCCACTTTTGAACCAGAAACAGCGGCAGAAGCGCCTGACCTGGGCTACAGAGAAGCAGCACTGGACTGTTGCTCAGTGGTCCAAAGTACTTTTTTCGGATGAAAGCAAATTTTGCATGTCATTCGGAAATCAAGGTGCCAGAGTCTGGAGGAAGACTGGGGAGAAGGAAATGCCAAAATGCCAGAAGTCCAGTGTGAAGCAACCACAGTCAGTGATGGTCTGGGGTGCCATGTCAGCTGCTGGTGTTGGTCCACTGTGTTTTATCAAGGGCAGGGTCAATGCAGCTAGCTATCAGGAGATTTTGGAGCACTTCATGCTTCCATCTGCTGAAAAGCTTTATGGAGATGAAGATTTCATTTTTCAGCACGACCTGGCACCTGCTCACAGTGCCAAAACCACTGGTAAATGGTTTACTGACCATGGTATTACTGTGCTCAATTGGCCTGCCAACTCTCCTGACCTGAACCCCATAGAGAACCTGTGGGATATTGTGAAGAGAAAGTTGAGAGACGCAAGACCCAACACTCTGGATGAGCTTAAGGCCGCTATAGAAGCATCCTGGGCCTCCATAACACCTCAGCAGTGCCACAAGCTGATTGCCTCCATGCCACGCTGCATTGAAGCAGTCATTCATGCAAAAGGATTCCCGACCAAGTATTGAGTGCATAACTGAACATGATTATTTGAAGGTTGGCGTTTTTTGTATTAAAAACACTTGTCTTTCATTGGTGGGATGAAATATGCTAATTTTTTGGGACAGGCATTTTGGGTTTTCATGAGCTGTATGCCATAATCATCAGTATTACAACAATTAAAGACCTGAAATATTTCAGTTGGTGTGCAATGAATCTGAAATATATGAAAGTTTCATTTTTATCATTACATTTTGGAAAATAATGACTTTTATCACAATATGCTAATTTTTTGAGAAGGACCTGTATGTAGATTGGCAACTCACACCTAAACACCTTAACAGTAGGGATTTCTCAAAGTCTTTGTTACTCTAATTCACAGACGAGGCCCCTCTGTTCCCATCAGGTATGAAAACTGGCTGGGAATCAGTCTTAGGCCCCATTTAAATGGACACGATGGGGGGAAACGTGGGTTTTTTTCGTATGTTAATTAGAGGAAAAGAGTTGCATTGACACGGTCGCATTTTGGGTTTACATGCATCCGGAGGATTACCCCCCGCCCTCCCGAATCCGCTGTAGTTACCATGCCGGGTCATTAGATGGCGCTGTGAATTTTGTACCTTAACCTAATGTGCATGCGTGCTGCCTCGGCACGTTGTTTTCCTCTGGGCTAACCAGCTAACGACAACGTAATGTAACAACAAGTTAAAGCTGGATTTTGGATAAGAGTCGACAGATTTGATGCCAAGCGGGACCGCTTCATCTAACAGCTCCACACTGATCACTGAGTGGACCAGAACCGAGTCAATGTCGGACTTTACTCCGTGATCATCAGAAGCTGTTTTACAGCAGGTAAATCAACGTTCTTAATAATGTTAGTTTGTGTTTACTTCGGTTACAAAACAACCGAGTTTTTATTTTTCCTGAAAGAAGAAGAAGCTGTCCTTCCACCAGGCGGACCGGTTCTGAACAAGGCTCGGCCCAGGTGCAGGGCAGGAGGACGTTGTAGAGAGCTGTTGGATGAACTATTCATTTTAAATTCCCCTCATTTCTTTTATTCAATCCATTCAAGTTCAGTTAACGTGTTTTAATAGTGTGTTCAGTATAATTATCAGTGTTTGTGTAACATTGTGGTGTTGAATAAATAAATAAAAATTAAACCTGATGCCTTCATTTTCAACCTTAGTCTTCACGCTATATGTTTAGCATCATTTTTAGTTTGAATTACATAATGTACAGATAGCTTCATTTAGCTCAGAGCTTCATTATATCTCACACTAACATAAATACTGTTTATTATTATTAAACTGTTGTTATTTAGCACATTTAGATGTTATAGTGCAGCACGACGTGTGCACGTGCCACGTTCTATAAACAGCGACATTAGAACTGGATCAGACTGTGTCTCTTCCAACATAGATGTCGATCACAGCACCTGGAATCTGAGGTAGATTAACTATGAGGTTAAAATGTATTCCATCAGTCGTAGTTTTGAAAGCACTGTCCGCCGCCATGTTGATAGAAATATAGCGTCTGTACGCGTGTGCGCATGAGGTTTAACACAAAGCCTCAGCGGGAGATGTTTACATTATCAGCAGGGGGTGAGCGAAAAACCTCCACTCTGGAAGGTGGGTTGAGAAACCTCCGGATTCAAAGAGGGGGGCCACTGGTGTCATGTAAATGATCAGCAGAACCGCAGAGAGAAAGCTACAGATGCACTCACAATACGCGCCATGTAAACGGACCCTTAAAGTTGTATTATATGTTTTTGAAAGTGGAAATCTAAGGCCTCCTCCTCTGTTAAGAGACAGCTTTTTTCTTTTTACATAAATTGCTTCCTTCTCCCCCCTCTCAAACCATCTGTGTTCTTGGTCCAAAATGTGCACATTTTGGTCCTCAAACGAGTGTCCCTAAGGGTGCATTCACACCAGCCCTGTTTAGTCCGCTTTAATCGAACTCTAGCTCGTTTTCCTAGAAAGTCCGGTTCGTTTAGGGAGGTGTGAACGCGCAATCAAACTCTGTCACGGAACAAAAAGGCGAACTCTGGCGCGGGTTAAAACCTATGTCTCGGTCCGGTAGAAGAGAACTCCAGCGCGATTCGAGTATAGTGTGAATGCAAACAGACCGGGCCCCGCTCTGCAGGACAAACAAACACGCATTTCTCTTACCTTATATGGAGCCGTCAGCTGTCTTGTGTGGAAAAACAATATTCTCCATGGTCTTCTGTCTCATCTTCTTCTCATGCTAAGTCCATTTTTGAAAAATGACAAAATATAACTCCTAAAACTGCTAAAACTTGATGCCACTTCGTTTTTGTTTTTATTTACAAAAGAAGAAGAAGACGTGTCTTCAGAGGTTTTTGTGTCGTTTCTTTCAGTAGTTCTTGGTACAGCGCCCCCACAGGCGAGCGGGGGAATAGGTTGGTTCAACAGGTTGACTCGACTGCACAGTGCAGTGTGAATGCAAACGCATCAGCTCAAATGTAAACAAAATGTCATGAATATTGGTCCCCAACCGAACCGAGTCTACCGGACTATTTGGTGCTGAATTTTGTCCTGAGGAAGTAGCTCTCCTGTGTTGAGCCATGCATCTGTGAAGAAGCCGTTTAGTTTCTCCAATGTAGAGGTATGGACAGTCCTCGCTGCACTGGACCACATACACTACACCACTCTGTTTGTGTATGAGTGTTTTGTCCTTAGGATGGACCAGCCTCTGTCTGAGAGTCCTGCTGGGTTTGAAATGTACTGGGATCTTGTGTTTGTTGAAAATCCTTCTGAATTTATCTGATACTCCAGCAACATAAGGGATGACAATGTTTTTCCGCTGTTCTCATTTTTCTGTTTGTGTGTGTTTTGTAGATTTCCTCGCTGACTTGACAAAAGCCCAGTTAGGATATCCACATGATCGAAGAGCATCTTGAATTTGTTTCTGTTCCTTTTCCTTCCCTTCTGTCTACGTTGGTATGCGTTTGGGCCAATGATGTAAAGTTCTGATGACAGAGAGTTTGTGTTCCAGTGGATAGTGAGAGTCAAACAGTGTGGTTTGAAACCAACCCACACTGGCCTGTGTGGGTTGGTTTTCTGTACACTTCAATGTTGAGGCTGTCCTCTCTTTCCATCTGAACCAAACAGTCCAAAAAAGGCAGCTTGTTGTAGTTTGCATCCTCTCTGGTGAACTTCATGTTATCGACTAAGTTAATCTGTCAGGTGAATGCTTCTATTTCCTTGGCTTGGATTTTGACCCAGGTATCATCCACATATCAGAACCACTGGCTTGGCGTTGTTCCCTCAAAGGAGTTTAGGGCTCTCTGTTCCACTTCCTCCATGTAGAGATTGGCAACAATGGGAGACACTGGAGATCCCATGGCACAGCCGTGCTTCTGTCTGTAAAAACTGTCATTGAACTTGAAATAAGTGGTGGAGAGGCAGAGATCCAACAGGGTGCAGATCCGGTCCGGGGTGAAGTTGGTCCTGTTGATTAAGTCATTGTCTTATACAAGTTGTTTTCTGACGGTTTCTACTGCTTCAGAGATGGGTATGAAAGTGAAAAGAGAAGTCACATCATACGATACAAGGGTTTCTCCTGGGGTTAGTTTCAAATGTTGAACTTTGTTAGCAAAATCAATGGAGTTCTTTATGTGATGAGGTGTGTTTCCAACAAGAGGAGCTAAAATA